CTTACTCCTAATGGCTGAGATACTGGTCTGTACAGGTGGGGAGTAGGACCTATCTTCTTTGAGTTGCTGGAACTCTCTTGACACTTCCTCCACAGCCAAAATGCAGGCCCGTAGGGAGGAAGAGACACTTTCTTTGTATTGCTGGAGTTGGCCAGCCAATTCATCCACCATTTGTTCCTCTCTTTCTTTCCAAGTCATTACTCCCAATGAGCTGGCATATGACGATGATGTGCTCCATACAAATTTCCGCCACATGGGTTGTGTGCACCTGACTTCATCTGGATTTTTGAATAACTGCTCATTGTTCAGGTCATCATAAATCACCTCCAGCATGGCTAATTCCCTCAGGTACTGGATATCTCTCTCCATGGTGGTGCACTTACCTGGGTGACATATAACATCTTTTTGCATATCTAGCACCGATGCATGGTCACTGCAGCCCAGGCTGCCTCCAATCTTGATGTCTCTGATTTAGCTCACTTGCGTTGGTGACCAACAGGTCCAGTAATGCATCCCCTCTGGTAGGGCTGTCTTTCTTGACACCTTTTTTTGTTTGAATATTGTCCTGTAAGCTACCCCCACCAGACTAGTCCTCAGAAACAGCAAGTTATATGCTAATTTTTTTAATATCTTCAGAACATTTTACAGTCTCCTCACTTTTTCACTCCCTAATACATCATTAAACCTTAGAAAATATTCATTTTCCACTAACTTTTAGCAATTTCTTTGGATTTCTGTAATTCCTCTGCTGATGCAATGCTACTGAAAGGGTTTAACTTGAGTCCCTTCAGGACAAAAATGTCTTTCTTTTCGTCACACAAATGGACTCCTTCACATGATTCTGCTGAACTGTTCAGTGCGTCATTCTATCATTCAGTGCACACAATAGTTGCAGCTGGAAGGCTTGCAGATAGCTTCCACCAATAGCTAATGTCAACTGTGTGAGACATAATTACGGTAATTACAGTTTTACTAATTTGCATGGAACAATTATTTAACCTTGATTTGTAGAAGAGACATTCTGAAGTATAGTGGTTAAATTACTTTTCTGAGAGTGATTTCCTAATAAAAAATAGCTAAACATTTATTAAACATGGAATGGAAATGTTTCCATCTCAAGTGCATGTGACAGCTCCTTTATATTCTCATTCCCAGGTCCAGAGACTATTTAATTACCACTCTGGTACAATAGATTGAGAGCATTCTGTTGTTCCCAGTGCTGACTAGATCTTCCACCTTGTAGACGCAGATTCATTTCTCTTTTGATCCAGAGGGCTCTTTTCAGTTTTGGATTGAATGCTTGTATCTTTCATTTGTTGAATTCAAGAAGGTTTAACTCTTCTTCTACAGAGAGCACCAGGTGCAGAGAGCACCTGGTCTCTACACATCAGGAGAGAGAGTGCTCCTCAACACAGGTAGGCATCCAGCTGCTCAATACTGTCAAAACTTGGCCAATCAGGGTTTGGGTGGAAAGAATTCCTCCATTTTTATTACAGCCATATAGAGACAGTAACCCCTTTTCAGATCTAGTGACACTCTTTTGTTAATTTCTCTTCTTTATACGGTCTGTTTAAAAAAAAAAAAACAAAAAACCTCTAAGGAAAAGAACTTATATATCAGCACAGCATTAAAAAAGCTGGGTCTCAATCCTTATTTTAATGCTAGACTTCCAAAATTATAAATAATAACAACCAAATTAATGTGCAGTCATATGCGAAGCTCATTTCCAAACTAAAATAACTTTTTTTTTTTAAGTACTGCATGAGTCCTTTACTGACTTCATGTAAAGTGTCCAATACATCCCTCTTGAATTTTTTTGGTGTTCAGTGGAGTTATATTAAGATGTGTTTGGCCCTTGACTAGAACAGCTGTTGCTACATGGATAGTTTTTCAGTTCATAGTCTACCTAAGTCATGTTCTAATCCAAAATAAATCCCATTGAACAAATGTGACACAAATGAAACAGAATACATGTTTCAAGCAACAAGTATCTACAAAATACTGAGCAGGTTTCTACTATAAAATTCATTAAAAGGCCAGAAATGGAAAGACCACTGGGAAGCACTCAGAATTTACTACATGGATGGAGGGAGGCTACTCTCCAAAGAAATACTTCAGGGATGATGTAGCAGCACCTGGTTTCCTTTTGTTTGTCTGAATTTGTTTAAAGAATTCACCACGTCATCTGCATGTTCATGCATATGTCTATTTCAACCTTCACTATTCTTGTTCAGTTTCATTCAGTGCTGTACAGGAGTGTACAGCATTGCTTTTTCCCCTGTCTACTCCACCTCCTATAATCTTGCAAACTCTCCACAAAATATTCCCTCACTAGGACTGCTTAAGTACACCCCATTGCTTTTTACAGGGATGAAACCCAGTGATAAACCTTAGATATCTGCCTAGTTATTTTTTCAAATTTAGCTGGAACTTTGCCTCTTTTCTTGGAAAGATACTGTTAAATACGACCAAGTCATGTGCACATAACTTACTGACACAAAAACTAAAAGAAAGGATATTCTTTTATATAGGTATATGTGTTGCTAGATGTCCTTTTGATAAGCATGTTAAATATACTTGAAAAAATAACGATCAATGGAAATATTACAGAAAATTAATTGTAGAGTGAATTTTATTCTTTTAAAGATATTGTCGTGGTTTAATCTCAGTTGGCAACTAAGCACCACGCAGCTGCTCGCTCACTCCCCCCCACTGGGATGGGGGAGAGAATCGGAAGGGTAAAAGTGAGAAAAACTCATGGGTTGAGATAAAGACAGTTTAATAGGGAAAGCAAAAGCCA